GCACAGAGCTCCAAGCAGATCACCCGTGAGCTAGGTGCACCGGCAAAGGAAGCAAAAGGTGAAGGGTTGCAGCGATTGGTTCCCAAATCTCCGCCAGAGGAGGAGGCTGTGGAGTGTCATTGCCCGGCTGGATGTTCCCTTTGGGAATGTGCTTGTTGGCAGTTTGGCCTCATGCACAAGTGCCAGCCGCGCTCGCACTTCTCTCCTGCCTTAGCCAGGTTGCAGCCTTTCAAATTAAAATTGTAACACATAGGCTCACCGGAGGACGTCGTAGGGCTCATGCCTATCAGCTGAGGTGGCAAGCGGATAAGACGAGCTTTTCCCCGTTTTCCGCGTCCTTTTGCAGGATCACTTGGCGCGGACTTCTTCAGGTTTCTGAGTTGGTTTTGTAAGTTTTCAATGGTCCTTTGGTATTGCTCCTCTGTCTTCGAGGGCTTTTTCTTGATCTCATCTTCCACACCCTCGTGCTTGCACTTGCTGCCACATGGCAATGGTTGGAGACATAGCCGAACATCAGGAGACCTGATGACTTCCTTCAAAGCCTGAGCAAGGGGTTGCACGCCACTGACCGTCTTGATACCTTGACGCGTCTCACGCATCATGTACTTGAACAACTCCATGTCTGCTCGATGGACTTGCTCTAGACTCAGCCGTGCATACCCTTCTGGAGCCGGCGCAGTGTACGCCTCAAGCAGGATCTGAGTCCATCTCTCAAACTCATCATAATCCACCAAGCGGCCTGATCGAAGGCCAAGCTCCTTCGTTGCAATGCATACCTCAACTTCAAGTCAGTATTGCACTCAGCCTTCAGCAGTTCTTGTACACGTGTCTCACGTATCACTCGATTGCTGTCGGGCGCCATACGGGATCTGTTTTTTATCCCCATGATCTCTTGGTCACGTTTCGTGCATTCCTGCCACTTGACATATTTCAGTTGGCCTTCTTCAGCCATGCCATACACAAGGTCAATCAAATGGTAGCTGGGCTCCAGCTCTCCCGTCATGGAAATGCCAGCCAATCTTTTGGCTTGTTCTGCATAGCACGAGGGTTTTTCTGCCTGCGCCAATTTTCGTGGCGTGTCATCCTCACGCCTTTCAACCCTTAGGCGCGCATCTGCTGCTGTCAAGGAGTAGGCCTCGAACACAAGCCTTCGGATAACTGCTAATTTAGCTGGCGGTGCCGGCTCAACTCCACATATTTCTGCTGCCAATTCCTTGACCGGGGTGTCATCGGATTGACCAGGAACATAGTTGCAAGCAAAGGCTAGCTTCCCAAATGCCGTGAATTTTAGTCTGGTGACTTGCTCTAGCTCGGCATCCTTGGCCCCAATCTCTAGGGCTTGCGCCTTGAAGTCAGCTTCCGAATCTAACATCCGACAAATTCAAACCTTTCCAAGGTAGCAGATTCTGAGCCTTCATGTGCTCGGGAGCTTGAAATCAGAATCCGGCACAAAAAAATAAATAAATAAACCGTTATCTCACACCAAGCAACAAGGTTTCAGGTTGTGAAAATGCGACGGATGGAATGAGTTACACCACAGCAGTATAGCATCAGCAGTTACAAACAACCAACAATTTAAACAACAAAGAAATGCAAAAGACAATTGGCTTTCACTTACCGAGGCGGTACATGCAACATGAATGTTGGGGAGACATCAACATATTCCCCGTCCTTTGGCATCTCTTCTGCCGATCCCTCTCCATACATCTTTCTTGACATCGCCTAACAGGCCATGCAATGCCAGCATCCAACACAGGTGTTGACAGGGAATGCTATGTGACGCTACATGGCAAAAATCAACATACTGGAGTACAACACAGTACTCGAACACGGCCAGACATACATAATTGTGACATAGGCAACTGAAAGGACAACACAGGTCAAATTCAGCTCAACACAGTCACTTAATGCATGTCGAATGAAATCCACATTTGATTTTTTTTTCAGGAGGGCAGGCGAGATCAATCAACATTTCCCCAGCACTGGCGGCAATGAGGCCAAGCAGGATCAGGGTCTCCATGGAACCTTTTGAACATTGTCCCCATAGACCTTCCACACGCAGTTCGGTCACTGTGCTCCGCATGGCCGAAGTGTAGCATCAAAGTGCGACCATGTCTGTACATCACTTCGGTCACAGCATGTGCCGAAACCTTGCGGAGCCCTGATTTATCTCCGTTCCTTGCAGAAATTTGAACAAAGGCCTCATCTGCTGAGGACGAACCTGAATCTGAAGAATCTGACTGAGAATCGTAGGAAGAAAACTTCATCATGCTCATTGACTTCATCATCATTGCGCCCCAGGACGTGACGCTCGCCACTCAAGTTGATCTCACTTGGCTCACAGCAAAACATGTTCCATAGGATTCCATAGCGCACTGAGTCCCACATCCTCGTGCGACGACATCTTGCTCAGCGGCATGTCATGAAACACCTCTGCAATGTCAATCAAAGATTTGCCGAGAAATTTGCACAGTTGATCGGCAACAGTCACCCAACAGTCGTCAGAAGGGAACATATCGTCACGTCCTGCAGCTGGGCAAAAGGCGCCATTTTGAACGGCACCGAGCATGTCAACCATGGTCCTGATTGGTGCCGCTAGGGCGTCACGCTGGTAGTTCAGCGCGGACTGGTGTTGTGTTAGGTGATAACCTAACAATTCAGAATATGTATGGAAACAACCGAATTTGCTCAAATAGGTCAGCAGGGTCGCTTTCAAGGAGTGACTGGTCAACGCGGGGATCATCTTGTCAGGCAGACACTTGCCCAAAATCCTCTTCATGCCATCGGTAACCTCTGTGGTTGATATTTTTGCAAAAATATCCAGGTGTGCTGTGGCCGCAGAAGGCAAGATGCCAAAAGACTTGTCCATGGCCCGGGAATATCAGCAAGTTGGAGGTTTCTGCGGGTTTGCACAAATGCTTGAAACCAGTTTACTCCCAGCAAGCCTGTTGTCGGAATCACAACCGGCAGAAAAGTGCATTGTTTCTCCTTTGTCCTCGCCGTCTTCACGCGCATTAGCGAACCTTCTGCATAACCACCAATCTCAGACAAATGAACCAAACGATTTAAATCTGACACTCTCAATCTGCCGTACACACACGCCACGCAAAAACCTGCAATGGCACGCAGGTGAGTATCCCTTTCACAGAAGCAAGCAAGTTCCAAAATGGCAAGCATGATGGGTTCCAGTGCTGGTGCTTGACGAAGAACCCGCTTGCCCAGATACATGTCCAAAGATGCCCCTTTAACTCTGCCAGAAGAGATGCACGCGTCAGTCCCTTGCATACCAAGCAATTCGCCGACAAACCCTAGAGTGCCAACGAACGTTGAGCCTTGCGAAGCGGCACATGCTGCGGTGCGAAGGTCGCACATGTTGTCATAAACTTTCGACTCGCAGAAGGGCAGATATTTCTCACCAGGGTGTTTGCTTTCCAACCACTTGACATACAAGGCCAGAGAACCAGCTCGAGTTTTCAGGGTGCTCGTCGACTTTGGGACTAAAGCATCAGAAACCACTAAGAAGCGCTTGTCACTGTTCACTGCATCAGCCTTCTCAGCAATCAGCTGCAGCCCAGTAGAAGCTGTAGGACAAAGCAGAATGAGCTCAACCCACTTCAGGATAACCTGTGCACGTTCAGCATCATCTCTTCTCGCTGCTGCTCTAAAACAAAAAGTACGGATTAAGCTTCTTTTTGAATCCATGTCCATTGTCTGGGTAGAACAACTGCTACTACTGACAGAAGGCAAAAGTCGCGGAACTTTGACGCCGTTCAACCAAGGAGTGTTGTTGCCAGAGAATAGGGATGTCAAAGTTGGGTTCAGCTCCCATGGCATCTTCAGAACATGCGAATGCGATCCCATGGCGGTGGATTGAAACGACGCTAACTCTACATTTGATGAAGCAGGGAATTTCCCAAAAGAATCAACACCTAAACCCCGCTTCATTCAGAATCAACATCAAACGAAAAGGTGATGAATGTCACCTTGCCCTCCCTACCACTACCCTAATTTTGAGCAAGGCCGTTCATGTCATCGACATTCACTTCATGCGCACTCACAAACAAAGCGCTATGAACAAGTTCAAAGCTTGCATGTATGTGTATGTATGTGTATGTATGTGTATGTATGTGTATGTGTATGTATGTGAATGTGTGTGTGTGTGTATGTGTGTGTATGTGTGTGTGTATGTGCGTGTATGTATATGTATGTGTATGTATGTGTATGTATGTGTATGTGTGTGTATGTGCGTGTATGTATATGTATGTGTATGTATGTGTATGTATGTGTATGTATGTGTATGTATGTGTATGTATATATCTATATATGTATGTATGTACGTACGTACGTACGTACGTATTAATGTGATGTGATGTGATGTGATGTGATGTGATGTGATGTGATGTGATGTGATGTGATGTGATGTGATGTGATGTGATGTATGCATGTATGGATGCATAGATGCATGGATGCATGGATGCATGGATGCATGGATGCATGGATGCATGGATGCATGGATGCATGGATACATGGATGCATGGATGCATGTATGCATGTATGCATGGATGCATGGATGCATGTCTGTATGTCTGTCTGTCTGTATGTCTGTATGTCGATGTGTCGGTACGTCGGTACGTCGGTACGTCGGTGTGTCGGTGTGTCGGTGTGTCGGTGTGTCGGCGTGTCGGTGTGTCGGTGTGTCGGTATGTCGGTATGTCGTTATGTCGGTATGTCAGTATGTCTGTCCGTCCGTCCATCCGTCTGTCAGTCTGGCTGTCTGTATGTATGTATATACTATGTATGTATGGGAATGGGTCAAAAACCATCAAAAACCTATTATATACCATAGTTGGGCGAATAACCATCCATTAACCAGCCATGTTGATGCTTACCAATGTACCATGGTTTTGACCCACAACCGTATAATTATCTCAAAGTAAAGATGTCGAGATTCTCTCCCCTAAAAACACCCTAGTACTGCCTTTGGATGCTCTTCTCAGGTCCTCTCGACACAATGGGCAACAGCCACCCAGCGCCAGCCATCCTTGAATGCAATTGTAGTGGAATGCCTTGGAAAACGTCAAAATCTGGCCCCGATTCTGTTTTGGATTCCTGTGGCCACGGGGTTTCTCCGAACTTCCTGAAACTGGATCGATTGGGTCGTTGAAATTTGCTGTTCCCAAGTCCCAAAGACCTACTCTTAGGCATTGTCAAAGCCTACAACCCATTGAACAACTATTCTATCTTCATTGGTATATCCCAAGACTTTAGACATCGCAAGCCTCAGCGCCACGGCAAGGCGTTTAGCCCTTGGGGCCCAAGGTACATGCCCACATGAGAGGATTTCAGCAGGCGCAGGTCCCAGATTGCACAAGCAAATCACACATTGGCCATCGGCCATGAAAAGCGGAACTCCCTTGCTGTAGCAGCTGTAAGCAACTGCACCCAGAGATACCAGCGGCACCAGTGCTGGGAGTTGTAGACAATCCTGCAATCCAAGGGCTGGGCGGTGGTGGAACTATGTGCTGGCTTCGAAGCCAAAGCAATTTTCGGGTGAAGTGTAGACGTCCCAAAAAGGATCGAAAAGTAAGCCATCATCCAAATAGTTGGTAATAACATGTCATAACATTTCATAACATGTCTATCTTTTTGAGGGCCCCCAATAGAATCATTTATGTACTCCATCATTCCAGCGTCAGCCATCGGCAGGTCGCACAGTGCCTGGGTTCCCATGGGCGGAGGGCCGCTTTTAATGTAGGTCAATGAGTTGGATACAGTGATGATAGTGATGTGGTGGTTTCCTGAAATGGGGGGTACCCCTATATCATCCATTGATGGATTTTCCATTGTAAACCATCCAGCTATGGGGGTCCATTTACGGAAACCCTTAAATGTACCCCAAACATCCTCAAAGATTCTGTGCTCGACGCAAAGGTTCGAAGATGGACCGGGTTCATTGATCCAAGTTGCACTTCCCACAGTCAGCGCTGCCAATGCCGGGCTTGCTTTTACAGTCAGGTTGATCATCGCAGCAGTGCTCACACCCCAAAAGGCAGAAGAAGTCCTTAAGTGGATTCAAGGCAGAAGAAGTTGCAAAGCTTCAGCTTAAATCCACATAGTGATTCAATGCATCCATGATTAAGGATTTATATGGATTTATATGGTCCACTTTAAAAAAAGTTTAATCAAGTATGATCATATATTTTCCAGTCTTTCCAGCATTTGTCTGTAGTTGTCAATATTTTCTATGGGTCAAGACGTACCAATCTGATTGACCAAATCTGTGGTCCGGGGGAACTTGTGACATCTGGTGACCATATCCCGGTCAAGTCAAGTTGGTATATATAAATTTTCTCAGCCACATCTGGGTTTGTCTGAACATATAGGATAAGTAATGATAAGTACCTGCAATTTTGATTGTTTATCATGGTTTATCATCATTTTCCCTACCGTAAATTAGCATAACTTAGCCAGTTCACTGGCCTTTTTTTCATGGGTTTTTTATATGTTTAATCCTCCACTTTCAGACACACATAAAACACACTTTCAAAGCCATGACTCCGGTACTCATTCTCACCACTGTAGATCACCAGCAACCTCTTCCATCTACCGCGTGCCGGATCTGGTAATCCATAGGTGGTCAGCCACACAAAGCCTTTCCTGGGCCAGGCAAAATGACAACGTCTGCCTTTGAAAACCTGAAAAGGTTCGTGGTTCCAACCCCCTGAAGAATAGGACACCTTTTTGCACCGTTCTGGTTAGCAAGTGGGTAGCAAAGCGAGCCCCTAGCCCTTCCTGGAAAATATTGGTCATTGGGAATCATCATCAATTGTTCAAAAGTTGAAAACATATATTTAATATATCCTCTGAGCGCAACGTTGCCGAACTGCTACGCGCAGTACGCAACAGAAAATCTTGGCCCTTTTCGGGATCCAATGGGGGAAAATATCCCCAAGAATCTGGTGGTTTGGTCATGTTCAAAATCTCCAGAATGGGACATTTGCCACCCCCTGTTTACCTATGCAAATCGAATACGAAAATGTACCTCCAAAATCTCCAAATTCCAGTCTCAGCCACTTCTCCAAGTCATCATTCAGACGTCGTGCCACATCCAGCCCCTTCTTCGGATTCTCGATGACCTGCATCCGGATGCGTAATCCGTGGGGTTGTCTCAAAATTGGAAACCCCCAAATCCGTGGTGATCATAATTTTCCCCATGAAAATCGCCATAAAATGGGGTTTTACAATAGGGTATCCCCCGGGAAAGCCACGCACCCCATCCACCGGTGCGGTGGAAACCCTCCTGGAAAGAGGCGTAGATGATCTTCACTCCAGCCCCACCCAGTTTCACAGAAAAGTCGGTCCATTCCTCAGTCTTCATTCGATCAGCTCTTGAAAATCATGGTAAAAATATGTAAAAATCCCTTCAGAACTGGAGAATTATATCTGCCTCACAGTTTTATCATACTGATACATCCCAAATTGATGGTAATCCCCCAATAGACAACCGTTAGTGACTAGTGGCGTCAAAGCTTTGGATGTTCCTCGGCCCCAACTTGGGTCTTTGGTACTGATCCATCTACATTTCAAGAACGGCATTGTGCCAAAATGCTGTTAGTAATGGAATCAAAGTGATGCGACTCCCGTGTCTTTGTGAGGATTCACAAAAGTAAAGATGGTGCAGGGTTGATTTTTCAGGATACTAAGCTGATGGCATGTTGAGCCAAGTCTCATGAAGGATCAATGCATGGTGCCCTGAGGTCATCTTTGCGGGGAAACAGGCTGAAAGTCAAAGTGAGCCTTCAAACATCAAACGAGTTCGCCTAACTCTGATGATTGCTGATTCCTCACTGATCATTGATGAATCATCACCGATTTGCCATCGATTCCTAAGGCTTCCCCTATGCAACTTGACGCTCGGCGAAGCCGATGAAGCCATGAGCCAAAATAGCACTTGGACATTGGACGCCTGGGCCTCGTGTATAAAACATTGCACTCGTTTATATGGGTATGGGTCAATACCTATAGATACATTATTAGTGGGATGAACATCCATAAATCCCAGCTATTTTGGGGTTCACTAGGTACAAGGGTTTTGACCCATCCCCATATGCAAATATGTGGTATATACATGTATATACATGATGTACCCATGTCTCATGTCAGGATGGTTGCCATGTCGCCACCTTCCCCGCAGTAACCTGCGAATGGTATGTAATGATTGGTCACGGAAACGTAATAATATGTAACTGAATTTGTAATTGTAGTGATTGGTAGCGGCAATGCGTGGCAAACATTTTTGGGCTCCAGCTTCTTCGACAGTCTCTGCAACCTCTCTGGCAAAGCGGACAAAGCGCTGTAGCTGCGGAGAAAGGGCTTCAACTGCCAAATTTTTGGCTGGAAAGGAGGAACCAGATTGAAGCTGCATCAAGGTTTTGTTGAAGAGCCCTGCTTGGTGCTGGGCCAACATCTTCAGCACCTCACCTAGCAGAGCTTCAAGCTCCGCACGGCGAGATATTGCCTCTTCCCACTCTGCTTGAGTCATGCATGCAGCCACAGGGGATCGAAAACCCGCCAAGTCGTAGTCGGTCACGTCCACATCTGCCAAGCCTTCAGGAGGATCTGAGATCAGAAATGTCAAATAACTGAAAATCACTCGCAGGAGGATGTCCTGAAAGTACCTTCCCAAACGTTGAGGCAGTTGGTTGAATAGCAAAACAATGGCACGCCAAGAGAGCAACACCTCTAAGATCTGCGGACCTTCGCAACTCTGGAGGAGTTGTTGTGACAATTCTTGCAAGTTGGGTGCAAGCATTGAAGTCTCCAGCAGGGGCAAAAGCCCAAATTCCATAAAGAGTGTGAAAGGCTCTGACTTGGCCGATTTACAATGGAAGAAGCCAAAGGTGAAGAAGAATTCCAGCTGCTTTTCTCGACTCACACAAGCGTCACTCTTGCCATCAGCAAACGCCTTCGTCAAAAACTGTGCGAAGCTTTGCGAAAAGGGAACGACGGAGAGGCCACAAATGTCCTCCTGTGGATATGGCGAATGGGTTTGGAAGAAATCGGCCAAGCACACGCTGAAATTCTGCACTTCTGTTGCAATAGCCCTATCCAGCAACAAATTCAGCACATCCCAACCCAGGAAACGTAGGCTGGAATCTGTGGAGCTGTCGAGAATCTGCAGCAGCACCGGTAGACACAAGCCAAATCGATCCTTCAAAACTAGATAGTCGGATTGTAGAATCAACCAATGTAAACTCTTCAGCAGCACTTGCTTTGGTTTTCCTTCCACCAGCTTCGCCTTGATATCTTGTATGGCCCCTGGAAGAGCATCACACAACGCCTGCCGACGCATCTCTTTGGCATCGGTGTCAGCATACAGCACTTGGAGCCATTCCTCCAAGCACTTCTCCGCTTTCGCGTCCTCACCTTGGATTGCTTGAGGAGGCCATAAGAGTTTAAGAATCATCATGAATCATGGCAGATCATGGCAATAGATTCCCCAAAATGGTGGATTGACCTAGGGGAAATGGTTAAAAAAAACAACTTCAGCAAATCCATGCGATCCAGGTCACTATGATTCCACTGCCCAAACACCTCATCCGCACGCCACTGACGACGCTCCAGCCGTGCGCTGCTCTTCAGGGCCGCGATCCACCGTGGAACCCGTGGACTTCGACCCCGCACCGCCATGTCGTGCAGGCGTCTCGCACCGTGCGACGTCACGGGCACCTGGACTTTGGAAGCGGCGCCAACCAGCACCAGGAAGCGTCCAAGGAGTTTCTTCTGGGGATTGGATCCAAGGGTTGGCCAATCCACATGGAGATGGCTGAGATGGCCATCAAAGATGGCAGATTCCAAATCTTGAAGGGCCATGATTTGCAGTGCCTAGTTTGAACAACAATGGACTGCGGAGGGCTCAAACCTTGGGGGAAAAATTGTTAAAAGTACCCAGTAGTCTGAATAATTGAGGCGATTGACTGAAGAACGTCCAAGCTTGTCCAACTTGTCTACTAACTTCATCAACTTACTACCAATCTCTTGTTGCACACATATGAGGACCTCCGGTGCCTATCTATCCAACCCCGCATAAACAGCACCGGGCACCTTCACTGGAATCCTTGGCCGTTCCTTTGGGCGACGATACACCGGGCCATCCTTCTCTTTCTGGTAGATCAATGAACGAATGCGAGTGAAGGGCCTGGCTCGGGGGACTCATCTCAATTGTCTGGGGAGGATACCAATTGTATCAGATTGTTCCTGTAAGAATTGAAGATCCAAAGGCTTTTTGTAGCATTTCACTCTGGCCAAACGAGTCAGAGATGTCAGGCTTTTCCGAATGGGATGAAACGCAGCCCCATGTGACAGAGAGGTTTGAGGCACTGCATGCACTGCATCGCCTCGTCTCTTCCGTCAAGGTCAGCTCTGACAAAGTTTCAGTCACTGTGCTAAAGAAGAGGCGCTCGAAGAATTTCTGCAAAGCCTTGGGGGGAAAGAAGCCCATTGCGGATAGTGGCTTGGTGATCCAGCAAACTGCTGCTTAGCAATCCCCTTTTAGGATGGAAAAGAAACCATAGAAACCCCATTGGATGATTCTCTCATTGGAAAACTTGCTGATCCACTGTCCACAATTCAACATCTCCAGACAATTCTCATCATTGGAACAAAAATGCGGACCTAGCCTCATTCAACCAGCAAAAAAAGTCTTTATGTAATATAGTATAATTTCATGGATGTAACATATTTACATATATATGTATGTGTATATATATGTATATATAGTGTGAACGATCTCATTTCACCAACATGCCTATCCATGGGTCTGTCCAGAGGCCTTCAGCTCAGTTTTGCCAACCGGCGAACCTCCGCAGAAAACACAGGCTCAGGGCAGCCCATAGGTGCAGCGGAGGGTGGGATACGTGTTTTCCCGGTGGAGCCATAGGTTTGTGCTACAGTTTTTGGAGGCCGTGGCCGGCCATACAACAGACGCTGGGGTGACAGCGCTTTCAGTGGTGCATACAAAAAGCTGTGAGGTCGCAGCAGCGTTGTGGTGTGGCAGGGAACCTTTCCTTGGGTTTTTGGTTGAGTTGCTACCGCATTTACATTGGTAGCGGAGCTCCCGACAGCCGTCGGGAGTATCCAGGAAGCTACCTTGGTGCAAAGCTGACAGTTTAGCTTGCTGCCAGGATCAGCAGGTGAGACCGATACCATGCCGCCAGGCAGTGATGGAGCCTCAGGCACTGAAGCATCCGAGACGGTGGGAGGAACCATATCCACCCAACTGGCATACTTGGTACCTAGCTTTGATCCAAGTAAAGACGATTTGCAACTGTACCAGCAGAAGGTCCAACTCGTGCTTGCAGTTTGGCCGCCATCGAAGCTTTCAGAGTTGATCACCCGACTGATCTTGAATACAACAGGAACCGCATTCTCCAAGTTGCAACTGCATCATGCGGAGTTGTGTGTCAATGAGGAGAAGGGGGTTAAAAGGTTGATCGAGCTTCTTGGTGGTCACTGGGGAAAGACTGGGTTGGAACGTAGATATGTTGATGCAGAGAAGGCCTTGTATCAGTGTTCTCAGCTTGGGGACGAAAGCCATGATAGCTATTTAGCTCGTGCTGATGTTCTCTGGACGCGCCTCTTGGCACAGAAGCTGACTTTCGAAGATCTTCAGGCGTATGTGACCCTTAGGGGAGCTCAGCTGTCAAGTGAAGACAAAAAACGGGTCATCATTGATAGCGACAATTCACTGGAAGGGAAATTGACCATGGTCAAGGTGACGGAGTCCATTCGAATGTTAGGCACATCCTTTTTTCAGGAGATGACAGGTGCCAACAAGAAAGGGGTCAAGGCGAAGGTGTACGACCAGACCCTCCTTGTTGCAGAGGATGTGGAACAGTCAGGTGACCACGAAGATTCCGCACATGTTACAGGTCATGAAGATGTCGCTGAAGAGGACTATATCGAAAGTTTGGCCCAGGAGGGCGACGAGGACGCAGTGTTCGTGGCAGATTTTGAGACTGCTGCCACAGAAGTTGTACAGTCGGATGAAGATCTGGCAGCAGCGTTTTCGACTTACATGGAAGCACGTCGGAAGCTGAGTGAGAAGTATCGAGCCAGGAGATTCTGGCCAATCTCCAACAAGGGGAAATCCAAGGGCTTCAAGGGCAAGTCCAAAGGGAAAAATCCTTGGACCAGCCGGAAAACTCTGCAGCAGCGCATCTTAGAGAGCAACTGTAGGATCTGCGGCCGAAAAGGCCATTGGAAGAGCGAGTGTCCGAATCGTGGCCAGTCTATGTCAAGCACGTCAGCCTCGACGGTCCCTGTAACTCTCTCAATGGGTGTCGCATCTTCTGCTGCCAGTGATGTCATGACTGCGGAGTTCATGAACCTTCCTGAAGTCCATCCGCCTGCACAGGACAACATCCGAACACATGCATTGAGTTTTGTACAGTCAGTTTTGTTCAATGTCACAGGTGAAAGTCCAAGCCAGGGAAATCCTATAAACATGAGGGATGTAAGGGAACGAATTAGGAGCCGGATTAAGGGTAATCAGGGTAATAATTCCAGAGTTGCATCCTTGGTGAGCAGGATTGAGAGCCGCCTTGCCTCAGCACCTGATCGGTCTGCAGTGAACCAAAATGCATCCGTGTACAGTATGCCGGGTCCGCAGACCAAGTGTTCCAAGTTGCCTCAAAGCCCGTTTGTCAGCCAGTCCATTTTGGACAGAAATCATGCACCGAAGGTATCTGAGCCGAAGAGCCCAATGCCTGATGCCTCGCATGACACCTCCGAGGTACTTTTTGCCACCCACGACACTTGGGGTATCCTTGACACTGGTGCCACAAAGACTGTGATGGGTAGTGATTTCGTACCAGGTTTTTTACGAAATGTTCCTGTCGACATCCGAAAACAGATTCGCAGGTGTTCCTGTGATGTTACCTTTCGGTTTGGAAATCAAGGTACTCTCAAATCCGAACATGCGATGGTGGTGCCAGTGTGTGGTTTCGATCTCAAGATCGCAATAGTTCCAGGAGCCACACCTTTTCTGGTGTCGAATACGCTTTTGAGAGCCTTGGAAGCCATGGTAGATACAAGTGCCAATCAGTTGATCCTTCCAAAACATGGACAACACATACCACTGAAGTTATCCAGCAAGGGGTTGTATCTAGTCGACATGAACTTGTTGTTTGAAGTGTCTTCTCCGAAGAAAGGCTCCAATCAGACAGCCGAGACTTTTGCCCAGGAATCCTCTGAAAACGTGAGCCAGTCAGCGTCAGTTGCAGGTTCCGAGATGTTCACAAACACATGTTCCAAGGCAGGTCAGGTAGTTGAGTTTTCACCGTCTCCATCAACAGGATCCAATACCAAACATGACCATGAGAAAAGTTTTCCAGCATCACAGCCAGTTCTCCATGAAACACCTCAATGTGAAATGACAAAACAAACGGAATCCCCAAAGGGCATGTCAAGGGACCATGGATCACCGGAAAGATCAGAAACCAAGACCGTGAGCCCTGAATCTCAAACGTCAGCCCACCGTGAAGCATCCGCCAGATCGCTACTGAACCATGAGCGACTGGACAAAACGTCTCCAGCGTGTGCAAGCGGAGATGCCACGTCCGGAGACCGAGGACATCGACCACATGACTCTCGAGATGCTTCTGACAGAGAGGGTGCGATTCGGGAAGGCCCATCAGGGGAAGTCATATGCAGAAGTCTGGGAATCGGCACCGGACTGGATTCGCTGGTTCCTGGGGCATTATCAGGAAAGCAAAGATGTGGAACACAAGAAGATGATTCGATTCATCAAGCTCAGGATCGAGGAGACCGAGACCAGCGGGGGAGAAGTTCCACAACCAGCCCCAGTGAAGGCCAAAGCCAAGGCCGCTCCGAAGATCTTGGCAGCTTCCACAAAGAGCCGCCCAGCGCCTCACCCAGATGCATGTCCCGAAGAGCCAGTCAATGCCGAGATGAGCAGCCTGCAAGCTCGAATGACCAGCCTCGAGCATGCGCTGCATCAGATCTTGGTCCACCTGACGCCCAATGTGCCAGCAGATCCAGTGCCGTCGACTATGGACGACGACCTCCCGGTGCTCCCTCTGGCATCCGAATGGGAGGATCCCTGGACAGCATGAGATTCAGTGAAGATGATCGCAACTGGGCGCTCATGGCCGGGGAGATAGATGAGTTTATGGAAAGCCAGAGTAATCAGGAACGTAGGTACTTCCAAAGCCTGGTGTCCATGATGGAAAAGGAACTTCATGCCATAGAAACAAACACCAAGATCATAGGACCACCAGTTGATGTCGTGGAAGTTTTTTGCAGTCCAGAAAGCACTCTGACTGATCAGGTAAACCATCTTGGAGGCAAAGCCATCCGTTTCGGCCTGAACCAAGGCAATCTGCAGAATGCTGAGGGTAGGAGTAAGCTGTTCGGAATCATCTGCCGCCACCGGCCGAAGCATGTCTGGGTCAGTCCAACTTGCAAACCGTGGTCCAAATGGTCGTTTTTGAATAGCCAGAAATCACTAGAGCTGTGGGACAAGATTCAATCTGAAAGAAAGGACATGCTCAGCCAAGTAGCCCTATGCTTGGTGCTTTTCCGACACCAGCATCGATGCAGACGCCATGCACACTGGGAACAACCTAAGGGGTCCCTCATGTTTCTGTTGCCGTATCTAAATGAGTTAGATAGATACACCCTTAGTGCCAAACCTGACATGTGCATTGCAGGTGGACTCCAAGATCCACTCAACAGAAAGCCCATGAAAAAGGGAATGCACATACGTACCACCTCCAGACAATTGCAACAGCTTCTTGACCCACTGAGATGCCCAGGAATGCATGACCATCAGGCCATCGAAGGTTCAACCAGAGTGCATGGCCATGGAATTGCGAGATCCGAATTTTCTGAAAGGTATCCACGGAAGTTTGCACGCCTGGTTGCAAAGTGCCTGGTGAAAAGAAGTTTTCCCCAAGAAGTGCCAGTAGGTGACATTGCCGATCAGGCTCTGGTAGCTCTAGATCAATGGTTTCAAATCAGCAGTGCATTCGCCGTGGAGTCCCGTTTGACCAAGAAAGCCCGGCTGTCTCAACCACGACAGCACAAATCTCTGCCAGCAGACAGGTCACTCGATGATCAACCCAGTGAGAAACGTAGGAGACTCAAGAAGATAAGCCAATCCCCGAACAATCCAAATGCCCTTAATGAACCAGGGGATGAAACCCGGAGGGGACTGCTTGAAATTCTCAGTATCATCGAGCCCATGCTGCCTAGGGTAGGGAAAAGAACCATTGAACAACCACAAGTGATTCAAAGGATTCAAGAAATGTTCCCTGAAAAGGTCATCAAAGGGGTAATAGCTTGCAAAGGGACCGAACGCACTATGGCCCCACCAAAAGAAATAAGCCCAAAAGAAGCTCCTTTCCGAAGATCAATCATGAAACTGAGAAGCACTGGAAAAATCATCACTGATGAATGGGAACAGTATGATGTACTTTCCAAAAGGAAGATCATCCGTAAATCGTATCCATGTCGAGTGAATATAACTGTCTTCGCGGCCAATCCTGTAGCAGTAGCACCAAGCCCGGCCGGCAGTCAGCCAGACCCACAAGCCGCCAGAGCAGGAGGTGATTCACCGCCCCGGATGGAAAGTCCACCAAGTTCCCAAGATCAAGTGACAGAGATTTCGGAGCCACCAAACGTCCTTGAACCCAGAAAACCAGAAGATGTTCAAGAAGATGTTCAAGGGGATAAGCAGGTCCCAAGCAGGGATACCGAAATCTCGTCGTCCAGATCTCAAATCCAAATGGACTTAGGTGAATCGAAGGGCAAGCTCAACAGGTTCTTGTCCTTGCCTCGCGAAGAGCAGGCGATGCTGCGTCGTGCACACCAAAATCTGTGCCACCCGAGTCCTGAACAACTGAGCATGGTTTTGCGGAACCAAGGAGTCAGGCCCGAAGTCTCACAAGCAGTGTTTGACATGAAATGTGAAAATTGTGCTTCACATCAACAGCCGAAGATTGCCCGACCAAGCACTCTAAAGCATGAGCTTGATTTCAATGATAAGGTGTTTATTGATGGGATAACATGGACCAGTAAAGCCGGTAAAACTTTCCATTTTTATCACATCTTGGATCAAGCGACAAATTTCCATGTAGCAACACCTGCTCCAAATCGTGCCGCAGAGCAAGCCGCTCAATGTGTGTCAGAAAGTTGGTTTCAATGGGCCGGACCACCAAATGTGCTTGTCACGGACTCAGGTACCGAATTCACAAGTGAATTTTTCACTGAATTCCTACAGCGTTTTGACGTGAAGTCAGTGACAGCCGCTCCCCATGCACATTGGCAGAATGGACGCAGCGAAAGACATGGACATATCCTGCAAACAATGCTCAATAAGATAGATCATGACATGCCAATCCAAACATATGTGGACTTGCAGCAAGCTCTTGTTCAATGCACGCATGCCAAAAACAAGCTCAGTGTTCGCAAAGGTTTTTCACCAGAAGTCCTTGTGTTTGGTAAGAACTCCAAAGTCCCAGGTTCAATCACCAGTTGTGAAACCGTGTCATCGCTGGCCAGTGCCGACCGTGAGGATGCTCATGGAATTGCATTCAGAAGAAGTCTGGCGCTCCGTGAAAGAGCGCGTGTGGCATTTCATGAGGCCGATAATGACCAGGCCCTCCGGAGAGCTTGCTTGCGCCGGTCCAGACCGGACAGAAATGCGTATGACCCTGGGGAGTGGGTAACGTTATGGCAACCAGAACCCACTGGAGGACATTGGTTCGGCCCCCTCAAGGTTGTTGCTCAAGAAGGAAGTAACTCAATCTGGGCCACCCAAGGGGGAAAGTTGTACCGCAGGGCACTTGAACACGTCCGACCAGTATGTTCTGATGAAGCACAGAAAATTCCACTTGAAGACATAATCAATAATCCAAACACCGTTCAGACCTCAAGCATGCCTGAGATTATTCCCAATGAAAGTACACCTACAAGTAATCCACCAGTAAATCCCCCCGATAACAGTGAACATCAGTCCAACCCAGATGATCAAAGCCAGTCACAAGATCAACCTGACTTTGAACCTGAAACGGGAAATCAGTCTCATGAACCACATGATCCTGCCATTGAGACACCAGTCCCAGAGGATACCAGTGACGATGACCTTGTCACAACGCATCTCCTGTGTTGTGAAGATGAAGTCATGCCAATCGACCCGAATGCGATCCCTTGCGCTTGGAGGTGTGAACTCGAAATGCCCAGCTGGATTGATTCCGAAAAATGTTCAACTTGGTCCCCTGATGATCTCTTGATAGCGACAACTGATAAGAAACAGAGAACCGAAGTGAAGCTATCCATGTTGACCAGTGAGGAACAAAAGGCGTTTGCACAAGCCAAGGAATCAGAAGTTCAAAATTGGCTGAAGACTGGAACAGTCTCCAGGATTTTGCGGACAAAGCTCGCACCAGAGCAAATTCTACGATGCCGTTGGATTCTCACTTGGAAACCAAGGGATGAACCAAGTAGCGATCATGCAACCAAAAGTAGCAAGCTTCAATCTCATAAACCCAAAGCACGTTTGGTTGTATTAGGCTACATGGATCCCCAGTTAACAGAAGTCCCCAGAGACAGCCCCACTCTTGGTAAACAATCAAAGATGATACTCCTGCAATTGATTGCATCAATGGGTTGGTCCCTAGGTTCTTTCGATATCAAAGCAGCCTTTCTCCAGGGAAAGCCCCAAAAGGATCGTATCATAGGACTTGACCCGGTTGTGGAGTTGGCCAAGGCAATGAGTTTGAAGACAGGCGAGATCTGTAAGCTTGACAAATCTGCGTACGGGCTCATCGATGCGCCGTACTTATGGTTCCAGACACTGCAAGAAGAACTCATAAACCTTGGTTTTAAGCCGTGCCCGTTCGATCCATGTGTGTTTGTCCTGAGGAACCCCAAAGATCAGACACTATCAGGTGTACTCGGAATTCATGTGGATGACGGAATCTACGGGGGTGACAAGTTTTTCCAAGAGCAAGTTTCCAAATTGGAATCCAAATACCCATTCGGATCCAAGAAATCACGGGTGTTCACTTTCACAGGAATTGACCTCAAACAGAATCCAGATAACAGCATAGAATTGTCACAATCCCAATATGTCAAAAACATCAATCCCATTTGCATCAAGCCAGAACGCAGAGCACAAGAAAATGAACCTGTGACCGAAGAAGAACGGCACTTATTGCGCGGCCTCATTGGCTCGTTGCAGTATGCAGCAGTGCACACCAGACCCGATCTCACAAGCTCACTCAGCCAATTGCAATCCCAGATTAACACCGCGACAATAACCACCCTTATAATGGCCAATAAAACCCTTCACACTGCAAAGAAACATAATGATGTGACCATCAAAATACAACCCATCAATATCCATGATTTAAGGTTCCTAGCTTTCTCAGATGCGTCATTTGCATCCAAGGTGAAACCAGAATCCTATGCGGGAATGATTATCATGGCAACCCACAAAGAGATTTCTCAAAATCAAACTTGCGTAATCAGTCCTTTGTCATGGGGAACTAAGAAAATCCAACGAGTAGTGACAAGCACATTGTCAGCAGAGGCAACCGCCCTCTCATCTACGCTGGATCAGCTCACATGGATCCGTGTCTATTGGGCCTGGCTTATCGATCCTAAGATCGCATGGCAGAAGCCGGAGACCGTCAAGACACTTCCAGAAGCTTTGACCGTTCCGACGCTGAAAGCCGAGGACAAGGACCTTGCGATAACTGATTGCAAAAGCTTGTATGATTTAACAACCAGAACTGCAGTGCCATCATGTCAAGAATTCCGAACCCAATTGGTAGCTCGTTCCATTAAGGATATACTCTCTGAAAACATACGTTTACACTGGGTACATTCGGGAGCTCAGCTTGCAGATGCATTAACGAAGATCATGGAGGGACAATTTCTCAGAGAAACACTTCGCCAGGGCCATTACTGTTTGCACGATGCTGATGAAGTTTTGAAAAATCGAGCAAATGCTCGAAACAGACTAAAGTGGCTTCGATCAGCCGCCTGTGAAATGAGCTCGAATCAATTAAAATATTGAATAAATGGGAATGTGAACGATCTCATTTCACCAACATGCCTATCCATGGGTCTGTCCAGAGGCCTTCAGCTCAGTTTTGCCAACCGGCGAACCTCCGCAGAAAACACAGGCTCAGGGCAGCCCATAGGTGCAGCGGAGGGTGGGATACGTGTTTTCCCGGTGGAGCCATAGGTTTGTGCTACAGTTTTTGGAGGCCGTGGCCGGCCATACAACAGACGCTGGGGTGACAGCGCTTTCAGTGGTGCATACAAAAAGCTGTGAGGTCGCAGCAGCGTTGTGGTGTGGCAGGGAACCTTTCCTTGGGTTTTTGGTTGAGTTGCTACCGCATTTACAATATAGACATATATGTGTGTATCTATATATATATATGTCAAAAAGCATCATAAAGCAACATCCAACAGATTCAACCAACAAGAATAGGAATAGCTGGCCTCCGGAGAACCGACGCATTTCCTCAGGAATGGAACGTAGTCCATCTTCACCTGATATCAATTGGTGATATGCTCGGAACTGGCTCAGTTTCAAGTGCCAAAAAGCCAAAAAAAAACAGCAATTGCCTTTGAGATTACCTTTTCGTTAATGTGGTAGTGCTGAAGAAGGCAGCTTTGAGTTGCAAGGAAATCTGCATCCAGTGTGGTGGAGAGTTTGTGCCTCCGGATGGTAGTAGAGCACATCTGAAGCTGCTCCGAAAAATGCTTCAAAAGAAGGCACTGCTGGAACTGTGTCATCTTTGCCTTTGAAACCGGGAAGTACCCACAAAGGAGACCATTCGGGAGACCGCAGCCAACTTTAATCATATATGAACAATATATGAACTATGCCAGTGAAGTATGCCTTGGGACCTCCGCTATAGGATAAAACATTTAGCAAACTGTGAAAGGCAAGCCTCCGTCGATGGCAAAATCTCACAGAAGCACTACCATCAGAGTAATCTAACACCGCAGATCAACGATCTGAGTGCCGTGAGAAGATGCGTTTCTCCTGAAATGTGCGCTTAAAAAACCAGTATTTTTCAGTTACATCCCCATAGTTTGATATAGCTTGATTAATATAGTTTGGTCTTAAAACACCCTTCTAAGAACTGAATCATGGTTAAATCATGATCCCATTGAATAATTCATCAACTACCCTCTGGTGAACTAACATAGCAATGGAAAATGGCTATTTATAGTGGATTTTCCCATTAAGAATGGTGATTTTCCATTGCTATGTTAGTTCACCAGAGGGTACTGCTCAATGTGACCTTAAAGAAACTGCCGGCACTCGGTCAAGTCCCAGTCCCAGGTACCGCCGGCAGCGTTTTTCTCCGACTCATGCGACTCGGTACCGTCGCTGTCATCGGCGTAAGATGCCCCAAGCGCATCGAGCTCCACCTGGGACCATGGTGAGCCATGGCAACTGGGCTATTTGGGCTGTTTGGGCTGTTTGAAGCGCAGATGTCTTCATCTCATCCCGCCTCTTCCAAATCTTTGGGTCGAGGTTGGGTCAATAATCGCTGGAAAGCATCTCGCAAGCTCAGTTCTTCACTCCCCTGCGTTAGCTGCCACGCAAATGCAAAGGATGTTTGGGCATGGAAAGACTGGGTATAACTCAAGGTGTATGAAGTCGGCGTCCAATCATGTTGACCCAAACCCTGCCATGGCTGTCTCCAAGAATGGGGTACTGTACCCCAAAATCCAATCATTGTCCGCCATATTTTTTCACGGCCATATGTTGCAGTAAACCTCCAACATTTGTGGACACACCCAATTCATGGTGTGTTGATGCCTAAATCACCATTTGTTCTTAGCTAAACTCCCATTTCTCAATATCAATTTAATCGCAATTCTAAAATGTCATCTACTATCATATATCATATATCATATATATTTTATCATATCTCGTATATTTATCAATATATGATATATATATATATAGATGATATATATGTATATATATATAGATGATATATATATAGATGATATATATAGATATATAGATGATATATCATAACACATTCCAGTTCTTTCCAGTTCAACGACCTCAAATCCAAATCCACTGGTGAAATCGGCCTCGCCCAGCTCCCGCGGATCTGCACAATGCAGGCGCTCGGGCGGCAGTGCCGAGGACAGGCGCCGCCGTAGGTAGTCGATGTAGGCATCGCTTCTGGGAGGGGGCAGCTGTCAGGAGTCACATACACATACTCTAGATACGAGGATCCCTATATATATATAATTGTATATATAGATATACACATACTGTGTATATATATATATACTGTATACATATACATATATATCATATATACATATACATATATACATATACTGTGTAAATGTCATATACATATAATATACATATAATGTACAGAAATCCATAGGTACTATATATTGTAAAGAATGATATACATTTGTTTTGCACATTGCCTGATCTGCGGAGGCTCCCAGATCCCATAAGCTGGTACTGTTGGTAAATGGGTAATATATGAACCAGGAATAATAGTGGATAATTGGATAATAATTGTAATGATAATAGTGAATAATTGGATAATTGGATACTACAATTATTACCAATTATCCCAATAATTTCCCTAATTTGGATAATTGGGATAATAATGGAATAATATTAGCCATTTACCAATATCATTGGGATAAAAAAGGTAATAATTGTAATACATGAATATCCCAATATATCCAATATATGTTGGGATAATTGGGATAATTGGGATATCCCCAGAACCACATAATAATATAGTCAGTATAATATAATATATGCCTAACTTTTTTGCTTGTTTTATTTGCCCAATGAACCAGCTAGCATAGCCCCCTGGTGCTGCAATTGTTGGTGTTTCGCTTGCCCCTCTTCGACACCAGAGGCAAGGACAGCGGAGCCCCCACCATGCCCATGCAGCCAGAAGACCCACCATCGTTTTCGTCATCACTATCCTTCAAAACAGGTTTGATCTCATCAAGCGTCGCGTTGCCGAAAGTGATTGTATCACCAAGCGGTTTGAAAGACCAAAAGTTCAAACTTTGAATCTGGAAAATGTCTAGGATGTTTGTCATCAAACCAAACCTATCTTGGCATCTAAAAAGCAGAGTCGCCCGTGGCCCTAGGCTCCGTGTCAGAGTCGAGCTCGATGCCACGCAAACAGCTGGGAGCACTTGGAGGGAGAGCCATGTCCTGGCCACAATTCACCGGCCTCTGGTGGTTTCCCTCATGGGGGAAGCCAGCTGTAATTCATATGATTTTCATGGGGGTATTGAATGCTGGATATGAATGAAATGTTGAATGCTGGATATTTAATGGTGGTCTTTAATCCGCTTTATGATGGTACATTAGTGACCAAAAATATGATTTAGACTGTCTGAAAATTCTGATTTACCCCAAATTATGGCCATAATTAATCAGATATGCAATGGTTGTAATGGGGGGAAACGATCTCTAAACCACAGGAGATTTATGGGATTTGAAGGGTACATATGAATCAGTTTATACTATAATTGTCTAACTAAAACAAACCATTTTTTTCTGCGCCGATTCGCACCTCAATTATGATCCCATATTTTTTCCACTGATTCTGGCAACTGAAAATTTCGGGGAACGGTCCAAAATCTGGATGTTCTTTCCCCCATGAGTTGAGGTGGCGAAAGGCCCAGTGGCGATCGCCTTCTCAGTGTGAATCTCCACCTCCTCTGCCGGCACCTGATACCGGCTGATACAAGACTTACCAGGAAGAAAAATCCCAGTTCTTATTGAAATTGAATATTTCGAATTGCAACAGCATGTCCTTTTTTCTGCCACCAGATTAGTGCTGTACGCACAGCTAAGATTATCCGTCTTCAAGGAAAAATTCCCTTGAACTCACTGCCTGACAATTTGGATATTCTATGCCCGAGGATGCTGATACCAATAGCCTAAACGATTATGAATACTATGACAACACATCAGTTTCAGGAATTTAGCATCTTTGTTTTGCACCGGCAAAGTTCTCTTTCTGAAATCATGTGCCCGATGGACAACAACGTCAACAACATAGTACTATATTGCAACAGTTTCGTGATTGTCTTGATATAAGTTGATCTCGTACGTTTTGATATAAGTTGATTTCGTACTCAGCAATACAATCTATAATCTATAATCATACTATATATATATATATATTACGCATATTTTCATCATTTGCTTCGAGCCTGAACAAAAAAAGGAGAGATCTACATCTTCGAAGTCCGAAGATTCAAAATGTCAAGGCACCGGACTTTCCAGGACCACCTCCACTGGCATGTCACTAGACCTGAGGGAAGGTGCTCCTTGGCACTTCAATTAGCTGGGTCAAAATAAAGGGGTACCAAGGGACCTTGCTACAGAGGTCATATTAATATGTCTAGGATCTACAAGCATAACCATAACGGGATGCATCCTGCATCCTCAAGATTTTGGGTCTTTGTTTATGGTGTTTCTCTAGATGGGGGACCCCCAAACCATGGAATTCCTTGAGAAAAACGGCTGGTCATTCTGCAGATTCGTGGCTGGATCTGATGGATGAGCCAATCATCAAAGAGTTCCACGCCTCAGTGCCGACAAATTCGCATAGGGTATGGCCGTGGCTCAAAAATTGGATAGTTATGATACGGGGATGGGTCAAAACCTTGTACCCCTGGTGAACATCAAAATAGCTGGTAAATGGATGTTCATCCCATTAAAAATGTATCTATAGGTATTGACCCATACCCATACTTGAAATCTGGTTGAAATCTGGTTTCAAACCAAGTAGTCTGGCCTCTGTCCAACTTCCAGGTCTATTTAAGTTCACTTCTGTTGTTATCCCAACAAGCTGAAAGCTTTCCGCGAAAAGACCGGTGAGCCAACCATCCCATGGCAAGCGCAGCGCAGGTGCCTTCCTTCCGCCGATCCTCCTTTCGTTTCGCCAGCAGGGCATCCAGTTCCTCCACGGTCATCTCCTAGCGGTGCCATGGGGCCATGGAGCCACCGCTTAAAGCCATGGATTCATTGGAAAGAATGGGGTACACCCAAATTGGTTGCCATCAAAAAGTGCCAAAAAATGGGGAAAGAAATCTAAACCATGGGATTTGCGATTCTTGGCTAAAATGTCAGATAAACCCAAGCGGCATCCCCAAATACAAGGCAGGGACTGTAGAGCTATTTGTTGCTAGTGAGATGACGCAGAAGGCAAAGTAACAACCCCAAGAATCACATCCTACTTTGTCCTGACTGGATGTCATCCAGTCAGGACAAAGTGATGAATTCTTCTCCACTACTCGACGAATCTTTGCTCTGGCGATGTGTAGCAGTCCTGCCGCATTTTTCGGCGCCGGCTAAACTCCCGGGCTTCATCATCTAGGTCTCCCCATTCAAAAGCGACCTGGGCAAAATGTTTCAAGCCGCTTCTCTTTCATAGATTTTCTATGCATCAATCTCTGGACTCCCAGAACTCTCCAAAACCCGAAACAAGCATCTGCGTTGCTACATCAGTGCACAGTTGCAAATGCCACACAAGAAAAAAATCCACTGTTGGGAACTGTGCCGGTGCACTCAATTCTGATCGAGAGACGAAACGGGGAATCTAGTGAATCAACCAGTGGATTTGGAGCACTTTGAACAAGCTAAAATCATGCATCATGTGGAGAAGATCGAAACCCTCAACAAAACTCCAAAACTGAGTGGCAGCGTTCTCAGGTAGCACACCCTCCTGACAGTCCACAAGATCTGGCACGAACAGGTAGCTCTTACCTTTGTGGCCGTCGGCCTCAGGCCACAGACTGAAGGAGACTTGGAGGAGCCTGAAGTCAGGTGGCGAAAAAAGGAAATCCCAGTAACATATGCTTCGAAAAAGTGGAGGATAGCCCAAACTCATTAGAGATGTTGGAGTTTGAAATGAACCATTTTGCTAAATGTTGAGGGTCCTGGTGTTTTGGGAGATGCTTCTTCTGCCAATCTACAAAAAAATGTAAGAAATGGTGTTGCTAGAAGAGTAGTTCAGCTGACTTTGTGTTGTTTTTTAGGTGGCTTTCGTAGAACATGCATGGGAAAGTGCTGGCCACGCTACGATGAACACGAGCACTGCACCATCTTTGCTCATTTCATCGTCGTCGTCCTGGTGAGGAGCAGCACGATTCACACGATGATAAAATCACAGGGAAGAACCCTAGGTGGAGGAATTCGAGGATCAACACTATGAAAGGCACTTGAAAACAATATATAATATATATATATATATACGTATACACATACAGTATACATATCAAAACATACATCTTAAAATGATAAAGAACACATCTAATAATCAGTTGTTTTTGAAATATGGGTGTGTCTGAAAATTGGATACCCATATACCCCATCTATATTGTCCTTTTAGGAAAAAATCTAGGGGCCAGTTTCGTATACAATTTGTTCTCATTTACCATCATTTACCTATGTGTTTCTTCTGTGGGGAGAAGCATCTTTTTCAACGAACCAGTGGGATATCGAATGGTATCCCCAAACGAACTGCCTGCAGATGCCCCGCGCCTCAGCCTCTTCTAACTGTCGTGATGCCCACTTCTTGGCTTGATCCTCGCTCAGGCCTATCTTGCGAAGGTTTGAAGCCACCCATGAATTTAGGGGGTTTTCATAAATATAGTATGGGGATAGAGTATTACTGGGATAGAAATTGCATAGAGATGCAGAATTATATATGACTTTGATTGATGTTAAGTGAAAATTGCGATTTACCACCATTTTTTTGTGCCAGTTATGCAGGAAATGAGGCCAGAGCAACCCAGCCAAGTCTTTGGCCCAGTTTGGGTTCATCCTTTGGAAAAATTGGCGCTGCCAACTGAAAAAACTCCTGCAATGAAGATAGATACTTCCTGGTTGGTGGTTTTAACCATCTTGAAAAATATGAAAGTCAATGGGAAGGATTATCCCATATATTATGGAAACTATAAAATGTTTGAAACCACCAACCAGATTCCATCTGGATTTCAGGTAGCGACAGGGTTGCCTTTCTTGGACTTCCAAGCAGACTTGGAGTTGAAGTTGGGAACTTTTGCTAGCGCGATCCAATCCTCATACCTTGGCAGGGAGCCACCCTTGGCCTGAGATCATCGTCCCACTGGTGTCTGTGAATGTTGGGGATTTCACCGAAACAAAACTATGGCAAACAAAAATCTGGATGATGATTAGCCAATGAATGAAATGTATTGAAATGTGGTGTATATATATACCCTATTTTCAGATAAAACTCAGTTAGTTTGAAAAAAAAAAAACTTCCCGGATAGGATGGGAAATCCGCCGACCCCACCTGTCGACCACACCATTCTTTCGAGTGAGATCAATGGCATCCTCGTTCGAAGAATGTTGGACAAGTCTGAAATGCTGAGTTTTCCCAATTAAAATGGAGCCAGAAAGCAGAAAAGAATAGGGATATACTTGGGATGCTAATGAGAAATGTAGCTGAGAATATGATATTTGGGTTCGTCCAAAAATGGGGAATTAAAACTCAAGGCAGTGGCATTTTCAACAACAAAAACGATGATCCACCATGGGATCTGCCAAAATTCCTTTATTTCTTACCTCGTCTCCCTCGTGTGCTATTTCGTTCCCCAGTTTTAACGCCTCGCATCGCTAATTCGCATGATGGAAATAAGGCTTGTCCTCGTTATTTCTCAATAAGGAATGAAGGTTTCAGGTTGTGGTGGGGCCCAAACCAAGCGACAGAAAAACTGTTCCCCCTCTTAAAAGTTTATTTTGGGGTTACCTCGTGTGACAACGGGACGCCTCGCTAGTTCCCATGTTCAATACAGAAGACTTCCCCTCGTCATTTCTGAGTAGGGGTTTAAAATTTAAGGTTGTGGGGTAGCCCAAGCCAAGCGAACAAAAAAACTCTTTCGCCACTGAAAATTTTAGTTTGGGGATCGAGCTTGCCTCAATGGTAGGACTGGTCACCAGCACTTTGAGCGTCATGGTGACTAAAACAAGAGCAAGTTCGACAGCTTGACCCCAAAAAAACTTCTCGTACAATGATTGTTTTAACAGTTTTCTTTGCAGCTCTTTCATTCCCATAGTGATGAAAGCAAAGCAAGCTCGGGTAGAATGCATTCAAAAAACTTTCCTACACCGCAAAAGTTTCTTTCCTTCCTTTTGTGGAGTTGGACCTCTAGTGACGGAAAATCAAACTTTGTGGCTCCCCAAAAGTTTTTCTAACCCAGTCCAAACATGCAACAAACCAATACAAGGCTACCTCGTCGAGTTGGCTAATTCACAGAACCAATTAAGCTTTACCTCGTTAAATCTGAATGGGATTTGGGGTTACCTGGTCTCACGAGGAATGCCTGGAAATCCTGGTCCATGTCCATCAATGGATGTTCATCCTCTCTGTGGTCATTTACCCCTTTCCGCTACAGCTTTGCTTCAGCGATAAACGGGCAGCGATATGTTTGGTTCTTTCGAAAGTGGGCCAAGGAAGAATCGTCGACCTTCAAGGCCGAGTTTCCTACCGCCACAATCAGATGAAATCAATTAAACCAATTATTTTGTAGCTTCCCAACTAAGAAATAATCATCACACTGGGAAAATCCAGCCGTCTAGCAGCTGTTTGCCATTGGGTTAAGATTGATTTTAATTCCCCTTACAAAATGGGATGTTTCATGCAATCCCAATAGTTCACTTGGGGTAGTCTCCAACTCTGGAGCCCCGTTCCAATGGTCACTTCAGTTGAAGGATCATCCCTAACTAAGTGTTTGATAAGCCATTGATAAGCCTAGCAGGTCCTAACTAAGTTTTGTTATCGGGTTATCCATGGTTATCCCATTTATAACTGGCTTATAACTATGGTTACTTATAGTGACTACCCTCTGGTAAACTAACATAACTATGGAAAATCACCATGTTTATATAATGGGAAAATCCAATGAAAATCCACTATAAATGGCCATTTTCAATAGCTATGTTAGTTTACCAGAGGGTAACTATGGTTACCTCATCTGAGACCCACCCGGACCCCAGGGACCCAATTTTGGGGTCCTCATGGCTTTCGCTGCACAAGAGCAGCACCACTTCGCAGTCCCGGTGTTTGCCGCGCAGCACCTATGGCATCATCGATGAGGACAAGTAATTTAGATCATTTAGTGAGACAAATGATGATTTAATCATCCATATAGCCATATAATTCCATATAATATAATATAATATAATATTTCACTAAGCTGAAATGTTGGGCTATTTGGGGATAGTTACCCTTACCATCATTCCGGTCGCAAGCTTCGGTCGTTATGATTTACCCAGATCTATGGATGGCTTTAAGTCATAAGCAGCGATCATGGGGCTGTTAACTTTGAACCAGCAATCATTGTCAATACTGTGGATGGAAGAAATCCTGCACCACCTTGGATGGTTAAAACCCTATAAATAATGGGATAAACCATCTATCAACTGGTGCAGGATTTCTTCCATCCACAGTATGATGGATATTGACCATCAATTAATAGAGAGATCGATGCATTGATAGAGGGAGATAGATAGACAGACAGATAGATGGAAATAAAATTGCCCTATAGTAGCCTATCCCCATTTCTGCGCAAACCACGATTTCAAAAAGGAGAGAAAATCATCGACATAACATGGGCAACTGTCTATAGTGTCTGAGCCGCATGGAATTCGTGGAACTCTTTGAAGGAAAATCTTCCAACCCCAGCAGAGATTTCGAGTTGGATAAAAGCATGCAGCAAACTGGTCTCCAGGCCTGAATTTGGCTAGGTCCACACAAAGTCAGCCCCTGCAAGCGGGCCAAGAATTGCTACCAAGGAGAGGATATCGGATCTAACGTGCATGATTTGTCTGTCTAGAAAGCTCTTTGAAAGGCACACGCCAAGCACAAGACATCTCATTCCAAATGACATCACTTTGAGCGAGAATCCTGGCTAAAGCATCGGAATGAATTGAATCTTAAAGTCCCTGGCCGCCCATCACATGCCTCACCGCACTCGCTCTCATCTCCTGAGTTTCAAAATCACCATGTCTCAACGGGGTCCGCTCAGTGAAATCCCTAGACCACAACCCAAAGCCATGTCCTGCCATCTGTATGTATCGTCTGCGAGATGGACAAACGCCCATGACAGCACGGCTCACAAATCGAGGCACATGTTTCTTCATTGAACACAACATTCTTTTGAATGGTCTCAATGCTTGTCACGTGAAGTCTTGAACGAATTTTGCAAGCAAACTCGCCAAAAAAAAAACAAATCACCCAGAGATGCTGGTTTCAATATCTAGCGTTATATTCTTGCTGTTCAGCTTATCCATGCATCTTGGTGTGGTTTCGAATCATCATGTTCCAACTGCCTTCTGAACGCTTCTGCTGCGCAGCTTGAACATCAATCAGCTACAGAAAATGTCCAACCAATGAAGCAATTTGTTCAGAGTTTGATAAATTGAATGAAGATAATGAAGGAAAATCATGGAAAAATCCACAGAAAACCCCCCATGAACCAAATGGGAAAGCAGCGCACATCAGCTCGCCCGCTGCCTGGGCCTCTCCTAGTTGACGCTCCACAATGGCTCGTCCCTTAGTCCGCGCCCGCTCCCAACCGTTGATATGTGGATGGGTCATTCTCCACCAAAACCATTGCCTTTAAAACCCATGTCCAAAATCCATGTAGTTCTATGTACAAATATGTGTATGTATATATATATATTGTGATTCTTCCATTTGAGCCCACATGTGAACCCATCAACTCCGGTCTTGCCAATAATAGCTGCCGTAACGCCTCTTCTACGAAGGGCGCTACATAAGCGTAACTAATGAACTCAAGCCCGGCCATCTCTCCATCATGTCAGGTTCGTTTGTGGAAGACACATTGGCTCAGGCGTCCAAAGCAGGTGGGCGGGCAGGGATCCGTGTCTTTGAAGCCATTCTGTGCTGCAATCACGACAGGGTCGTGGATTTGGACGTGGCCGTCCATTTGGCATCCGTTTTGGCCAGACGATCGTTGCCGACCGCTGGAGGGGAAACAGTTGAGCGCTTGGGAGCGCGTGCAGTTGAAGGTGGAGCTACCCCACTTACATTGGTAGCGGAGCTCCTGACAAAGGAGCATCCGGGGAAAGCCTATGCCAGAGCCGGGAACTACAGCTGGAGGTGGTGAGACAACAGGATCAGCACCCTCATCTGTGAGCAGCCAACTGGCATACCTAGTGCCGAGCTTCGACCCGTCCAAGGATGACTTGCTGATTTACCAGCAGAAAGTGGAATTGGTCACAGCCGCGTGGCCACCTGACAAATATGTTGAACTGGTAACAAGACTGGTCCTTAACTGTCAGGGCAGCGCTTTTCAGAAACTGCAGATCCACCAGTCAGAGCTTCTTCAGAATGACCGCAAGTCGATTGAGCGACTGATCGAGTTATTGGGGGGAAGCTGGGGTCGTATCCCACTGGAAAAACAGTTTGATGAAGCCGAACAGGCGCTCTTCCACTGCAACCAACGGATGGATGAGTCGAATGACTCTTACTTGGCCAGGGCAGAGATTCTTTGGAGCAAGTTACTTGCTCGCAAGCTTCGACTGGAAGACATTCAGGCTTTCATTGTCTTGCGTGGCAGCACTCTTGCCGCCGAGGACAAGAAGCGAGTGATTCTGGAGTCCGACAAGGAGCAGGCAGGATCTCTGACCATGAAGCGAGTGGCCGAGTCGATCCGACTCTTGGGAGCATCCTTTTTCATGGATGTCACTGGACAGAAACGGGTCAAGACCAAAGTCTATGACCAAGCAGCCTTGATGTTGGAGGACCAGAATGACATCACAGAAACGATGATGACGGACGAAATCACGGAAGAAGACTTTGTATAGAGGCCTTGATCGCAGAAGGAGAAGACTCTGATGCAGTTCTCATAGCTGACTTTGAGGGTACAGCTCAAGATCTTCTACAAGATGATCCTGAGCTCTCAATGGCTTTCACTGCATACACAGATGCCAGAAAAAGGTTGTCTGAGAAGTTCCGAAACCGAGGTTTTTTTCCGACGTCACGATCAGGTTCCTCGAGCATGTCTGGAAAAGGCAAGGGATACGGGGGAAAACACCAGGGCAAAGGGGGCAAGAGCTTTCGACCCAAAAGAACGTTGCAAGACAGAATCCTGAACTCAACGTGTAGAGCATGCGGCCGAAAAGGCCACTGGAAAGCCGAGTGCCCTTTCAACAAGGGTTCCGCAGGATCAACCAGTACCTCAGGTACGACGATGCCCACGACCACTTTGGTCGCCGAGGAGACAGGATCCGATCTGTCTCAGGTTTTGCCCATGGAGTTCCTGCAGATACCTAGCATCGATGAAGCTGATCCCTCCAAGCAGTGTCCCATAGATGAAACACGACTGCCTGTAGCACATGTTTTTGGGGTTTTTCATGATGGTTTATTTACCTCCCATAGAGAAAGACTCAAGCAATCCATAGAACATTACCAGGGTAAGATTCACCATGAATCAAGGGAAGGTAGTGCCAGGGTTGACCAACAATCGTCTCGAGAGAGACTCAGAGCCCGAATGCTCAGGAACGAGAGCCCACCTGAGAAGTGCACTGCCACTTCACCTGACCGCAGCCATTTTGGCAATCGTGTCTCCGAACCAAGGGTGCATAGGGCCGAAAACCATATGCCTATCACTAAGGTGGCAGATCAGAAACCATCAGACCATGTTGAAGCTCAGATCTGCTTTGCCAGTCATGGTGCGGCCGGCATCCTGGACTTAGGGGCATCCAAAACTGTAATTGGCAGTGAACATGTCACCACGCTGATTGAACAGCTGGAGCCACAGATCCGCAGTCGACTCCGAAGATGTCCATGTGAAATTACTTTCAGATTTGGGAACCAAGCCACACTAACAAGTAGTCAGGCCTTAGTGATCCCCATTGGCGTTTTATCCTTAAAGATAGCCATAGTCCCGGGAGGTACCCCATTTCTGTTGAGTAATACTCTCATGCGTGCTTTGCATGCCAGCATCGACTGCCGATCACACGAAATGCACAGCCCGATGTTTGCCTTCCCAGTGAAGTTGCAGCTGTCCAGCCGTGGTCTGTTTTTGATCAATCTCAATGAGCTGACACAAGCATGTCAAGCCACCCTGCCGCGGAAAGTCATGCCGACTTCACCGCAAGAGACGTACATGTCCGATGAGGTAGAAAAGATGATGCCAGCAGGGTCAGTGCCTAACGTCAAACATGATCATACCACACCGTGCCACATGAAATCAATCAGTTTTGAACCACAGGAAACCTCATGCCAGTTCGCTGTCAAACACACACCTCATGAATCACCATGTACCACCACTGCCAGAAATGATGCAAAGATCCCAGAAATCGACAGTGATGATCAGAAGTTCCCAACAAGCTCCAATCAGAACCATGAAATGCCAGCGGAATTCAATGTGTCCGACCCTATCGATGTACAGGCCCGAGATTCAAGCATTCCCAGTGCCAACAAGCCGCCAGACTGTGATCGCAATGTCGTCGCTCCAGCAACGGTTGCGTGCCATTCAGACACCGATCGAAGTGGAGGTTCAAGACCTGAGCCACCTCACCTTAGAGGAACTATCTCAGGAGAAGGTGTCGTTTGGCCAGAAACATCTGGGCCAACCATATGCCGAGGCATGGAAGGACCAGGAGTGGGTGACCTTCATGGTGTCTCGATACGGGGGCAGCACGAAGTTGGAACACCGAAGGTTCATGAAGTACATCGACTTGAAGGTGACCCAGCACGAGACCCACCAGATGCCAATCCCGGTAGTGCCGCCGGACAGTGTACCACTGCAGCCAAGTGCCAAAGCATGCAGCCCAGGCATGATCGCCGCGGCCAAGCCCAAGGCTCGAGGAGGACATTCCCGAGCGATTCACCTCCCCGACATGGAGGAGGGAGGATGGTCCATGGAGCCCGGTATGGAACCCGGGATGTACACCTCAGCGACTATGACCTCCGGTGGGAACCAGGAGATGGAGGCAATGCAGCAACGCATTCTCAACATGGAGAACGCACTCACTCGAGTGATTCGTCATCTCGAGACGCAGCATGGGACAACAGCCCCTCCGATGACATCCCTGGAGACATCCGACACAGACTGAGCGAGGACTGGGAGGCAGACATTTTCACCGTCATGCCAAGTGAGATCCAAACACTCAAAAGGTTGATTCAGCAATTTGAGAAGGAACTCAGAGATATCAGCCTTCATGTCCGACCAATGGGAAAGCCAATCACTTTGATAGAGGTTTTTTGTAGTGAAAGATCACCTCTGACCCACCAAGTGAACCAACTAGGACAGACGGCACAGCGCTTTGGCTACAGTGAAGCCGATCTCGCCACCAGTGAGGGTCGATCACGACTCTTTAGTTCCCTGATCCGCCACAGACCGAAACACCTGTGGGTGAGTCCAGACTGCGGGCCATGGTCCTCATGGGCACAATTGAACGAGTCCAGATCATTGGAAAGCCAACAAGAATACGCCACCAGACGGCACCAACTGCTGTATCAACTTGCCTTATGTATTGTGTTGTTCCGCCATCAAGCCCAGAGGGATCAGGATTTCCATTGGGAACAGCCTGCCAGGTCCTTGATGCTGTCACACCCAGGTCTGGCAGAAATCCATGCATACACTAAGGCTTGTCAGTTTGATATGTGCAGGGCTGGGCAGTTGCGGTGTCCACTGAATGGTATGTTCATGAAAAAGGGCATGGTTGTGTTAACTACCGATGAGGGGTTATATCATAAGTTACATGGGTTAACCTGTAATCGCCAACATGAACACCAAGCCATCGAGGGAACCACCATGACCAAAACAGGGCCATTGCTGAGGACGGAATACACTGCTCGATACCCCCGAAAGTTTGCCAGACTTGTTGCCAAGGCCATGACAGCAAATCGAGGTATCCAAAGGAGACCCAATTTGCCGAGGGACAACCAGGTCCACTGTGCCGAGGACACTGCGCTTGCTGGCACTCACCGAATCCGAAAGCCAGCCAGTTTTGCCCGATCGGAAGTGATCTCGCCAGAAGCCAAGAATGAAACCGAAATCAAACGTAGACGCCTTTCTGGCAAACAAGGCGAGTCACAGCCTTTGCAGATGTATCAGTCCACCATGACTGCCCTCTCACAACAGATTCCCCGAGTCGGAAAGTCAGAGATCATGGACAGTAACCTCATCAGCCAACTACAAGAGTTATTCCCCGACAAGTATATCACCCGAGTACTAGCATGTAGAGGAACCGACAGAACTATGGGGCCACCTGAAAATATGGATCCACTAGAAGCCCCCTCTCGTAAAAGTTTCATGATTCAACGATCAACTGGGGATATTAAGTTCGAGAAGGATTGGGAAAAATGGGTTCATTTATCAAAAAGACAGTTGATCCGCCCATCACATGCCTGCAGGATCAATGTAACCATGTTTGCCCGTGACTTCGCAACCGCGAGATCCTCCGAACAAGCATCCGGCAGTCAAGACATGCCGACAGTTCCCCAGACCGACTGCGCCGGCCAAGTTCCAAGTGCAGATGATGCCACACCAGAGCATGACACCACGAGGGATCAAACGAATCCCAACCAGACCCTTTCCCAAGCAGCCTCATCACCACACATCCCCGAAATTCAGAGCCACCAACAAGATTTACGATTCAAGGGACTTCCTAAATGGGAACAACAACAAATTATCAATATGCACAAGAATTTGGGCCATCCTTCAAATGATCGTTTGTCAAAAGCTCTCCAAGTAGCAGGTTTTCGAACGGAAATGGTCCAAGCAGCTCTTGGATTGAAATGTGCCGTGTGTGCAGCCTGCTCACCGCCGAAACACCAGCGAGCCGGAACGTTGAAGCCATTGATGGATTTCAATCACAAGATCTATTTGGATGGTGTGACATGGAAAAATTCTCAGGGAAAGTTGTTCCATTTCTACCATGTTCTTGATGGGGGTACCAATTATCATGTGGCAATGGGATCACCATCCAAAGATGCAAAAGATCTGATTAACCTTCTTAATCAACACTGGGTTAGTTGGGCGGGTCCCCCTTCGGAGATGCAAGTAGACTCTGGAACCGAACTCATTAGTCAAGAATTTATAGATTTCACGCAGAGGTTCAATATCAAACAAAGTGTCATTCCCCCTGAAGCTCACTGGCAGCAAGGGAAAATCGAACGTCATGGAGGGTTTTTGCAAAAAATGCTGACTAAGATAGACCTTGAGATGCCCATTGAGGATTATCCAGCACTTCAATTAGCCCTCAATCAGTGTACTCATGCGAAAAACTCCATGAGCATTCGACATGGGTATGCCCCTGAAGTGATTGTGTTTGGAAAACATACTCGTTTGGTAGGTTCAATTCTCAGTGACGATTCCATTCCAGCCCATGAAGTTGCCAACAGGGAAGACACCGACGCAACAACACTGGAATTCCAACAAATGCTAAAACTGAGAGAGACAGCCCGAAAAGCCTTCCACTCCGTAGATAACAGCACGGCACTGCGCCGAGCCATGCTCAGCCGAGCATGCCCACACCGCGGCCAGTATATGCAGGGGCAATGGGTGATGATCTGGAGAGCCGGACAAAATGCATCCGGGGGTAAGTGGCATGGGCCGCAGAGGGTTGTAATCCAAGATGGTTCTCACACAGTATGGACAACTCAGGGGGGAAAGCTCTTCCGAAGCGCTCCAGAACACATCCGCCTAGCATTGCCAGAGGAAGGTCAGGGAGAGAGCTGTGAGATGCCCAGCGACCTTACGGAACTCCAACACCAAATCAATCGCATGTCACAATCACCTGATGAATCACCCAATCCAAGTCCAAATGTAGAACCCCATCATAACGATTTCCCAACTGATACCACCACTAACCTTAATAATCCACTACCAATAATCCAACCAGAAGCAGAAGAGGCGGTGTCCCGCAACAGCAGCCTGAATGAAACATTGCCTCAACCAGATCAAGAGCCCGATAACTCTCGACAGCAGACACCAACTGAACCATCCGAACCAGCCGAAGCTGAGCCAGCACCAGCTGCTTCCAACAGTGAAGAGCTCCTAATTTGCCAAGATGCAGACTGGGTCCTTCAGGCTGAAAGTCTGGAAACCGACATGGCCTGGAGATGTGAGTTCGACATCAACCTTGCGGCCGGTGAAAGGATCCCTGAAACCCAAACCGAATCCTGGATAATGCTTGCCACCAATGCCAAGAAACAGAGGACTGAAGTGAGGTTGTCAGAACTCTCACGAGAGGAGCGCCAGGAGTTCGAGAAAGCCAAGGAAGCCGAGGTTCAAAATTGGATCCAAACGGGAACTCTCACCAAGGTGCTCAGAGATCAAATCCCCGAAGAACAGATACTGAAATGCCGGTGGATACTAACTTGGAAGCCCCTAGATAATGTAGGTGAATCACCCCAAACAAGTTCAACCACAAAGGGGACCCCTCGCACCCACAAAGCAAAAGCCAGACTAGTGGTTCTTGGGTATATGGATCCTAAGATTGAGGAGATCCCTCGGGACAGCCCTACACTTGGCCGAACTTCCAAAATGATTGCCCTACAAGTGATTTCCAGCTGTGGATGGAAGCTTACCTCATTTGATATCAAAGCTGCTTTTCTTCAAGGTCAGCCCCAATCAAATCGAATTATGGGAATTGAACCAGTCAAAGAACTCAAAGCAGCCATGAACATGACAGATCATGAGGTAGGGAAACTGAACAAAGGTGCATATGGATTGATTGACGCACCATTCTTGTGGTATTGCGCACTAGTCACCGAACTGAAGCAACTTGGTTTTGAGGCGACACCTTTTGATCCATGTTTGTTTGTGTTACGAGTACCTGAAGGAGAACCCAGTGCAGGATCACTTGCGGGCATCCTTGGAGTGCATGTTGACGACGGCATCGGGGGCGGAAACGAATTTTATGACAAGAAAATTAAGCTCCTTGAAAAGAAATTTCCATTTGGATCCCATAAGACCACTGCTTTCACATTCACAGGTATCGAGGTAACACAGCGAGGTGACATGAGCATCCACATGAGTCAGTCATCCTATGTCAAGAAAATTCCAGCCATAGCCATTGATCCCAATCGCAAAACTACTCCAGAAGAACCCATAAATGAGTAAGAAAAATGTGCCCTTCGGGGCCTAGTGGGAAGTTTACAGTATGCCGCCACCAACACTCGACCAGATCTCAGCAGTAAGCTTTCTTTTCTCCAATCAGCCATCAATCATGCAACAGTGGAAACCCTGATGGAAGGAAATCGACTACTCCATGAAGCCAAGAAACATCATGATGTTGCAATAGTAATCAAGCCCATACCATTGCAGGATTTTCGTTTCATGGCCTTCAGTGATGCTTCCTTTTCATCAAATAAGAAACCAGATTCCCATGCAGGGGTATTTATCGTAGGAACTCATAAGGAGATCAACGATAATAAACAGTGTCCTATTAGTCCGATAGCCTGGGGTTGTAAGAAGATTCAACGGGTGGTCACCAGTACACTTGCAGCTGAATCGACCTCACTAGCATCAGCTTTGGACCAACTTGCATGGCTCAGAATCTTTTGGTCATGGCTCCTGGATCCCAGGACAAACTGGAGGAAACCGGAAGATACCCTGAAATCAATTTCACCAGCCATTTCAGCACCAACTTTCAAGGAAACAGCCGACATCGCCATCACAGATTGCAAAAGCCTTTACGATCTCACAACCCGAACTGCACCACCTTCATGCTCAGAATTCAGGGTACAGTTGGTTTCGAGGGCCATCAAAGAAGCCCTTCAAGAAGGGATTTTACTCAGATGGGTACACTCCGGTGCTCAATTGGCAGACGCCTTGACAAAAGCTATGGAGTCCCACTTTTTAAGAGCCACCCTTAAATATGGATACTACCAACTCAGCGATGAAAATGCAATTCTCAAAAAACGTGCAAAGACCAAAGACCGTCTCAAATGGTTGAAAGAATCTCAAACGACAAAAAAATAAATTTTGGGAGTGTGATTCTTCCATTTGAGCCCACATGTGAACCCATCAACTCCGGTCTTGCCAATAATAGCTGCCGTAACGCCTCTTCTACGAAGGGCGCTACATAAGCGTAACTAATGAACTCAAGCCCGGCCATCTCTCCATCATGTCAGGTTCGTTTGTGGAAGACACATTGGCTCAGGCGTCCAAAGCAGGTGGGCGGGCAGGGATCCGTGTCTTTGAAGCCATTCTGTGCTGCAATCACGACAGGGTCGTGGATTTGGACGTGGCCGTCCATTTGGCATCCGTTTTGGCCAGACGATCGTTGCCGACCGCTGGAGGGGAAACAGTTGAGCGCTTGGGAGCGCGTGCAGTTGAAGGTGGAGCTACCCCACTTACAATATATTGTATGTGTTATATATATATATATATACGTATGTGTATATATATCATATATATATATATATGAGCCCACTCCACGGATCGCCACCCCCCTCCCCCATGCAGCTTCGCATGGGATGCCACCATCCATGTGGCACCACACTGAGGCCACGGGCAGAGCGCGCCCGCAGCAGCTCCAGCTCCAAGCGACGCACTTCCTCCTGGACCATGGCGCCGAGGGATTTGAGTGGCTAAAATCTGATAAATTCCATCCTTTCATAGATGGCAAGTGTTTGAAAATCTAGTAGCTCGCATGTATCTAAGTATCATCTACCCTCTGGTAATTTAACAGTTTGCTATTGAAAATGGCCCAGTCGAAATAGTGGAATTTCCCATTAATAGCATGGTGGATCTTTCCATAGCAAAATGTAACAAATTACCAGAGGGTAGTTGATTTGAGTTGGATTCCAGCGGATTGATTTTTTGACGTCGTGACTTGGTTTTATTTTTTGAAGGGGTATAACCAACCCCCAAATTGTTCTACCCTACCATCGACGAATGGCTCTAAGGAGCTGACAGTTCACCTTAGCTATATATATATAATATATATATAATATATATATATATACTTATATATATATACTTATATATATATACAAATATATATGTATATATCAAGGATATAGTAGCTGGGATGCTTATCCAACTATCCAACAAGGGTATATGCCGAAACGACCGGATGCCAGAAACCCTAGCTAGACCATTTCGAGGATCCCTAGGTCAAGGCTTTGAAAGGCATTGGTGACGTGGAGTGGACACGACAGCAGTTGGTGCTTCCCCAACAAAAAGTGTGAGAATCATCATCCCAACCGGGAATTTCAGGTTTTCCAGGCTTTTTAAACAAACTGAGTCATCATGGTGCCATGGTGGTGCCCCTTACCCTCTGGTAATTTAACATAGCTATTGAAAATGGCCATAGAAATAGTGGATTTACCCATTGAAAATGGTGGATCTTTCCATAGCTATGTTAGTTTACCAGAGGGTAAAATGAAACCATGGCCAAAACTCCAAATTTTCCATGGCCATCTCCTGCAGCTCGACGACAACAGCCTCCCTTTGTGACACCGGAAGCGCAGGCTTGGTCCGAACCTGCCGGACGTTCGAGTTGAGGGGACCATGAAAAATCTATAAACAAACTTAAAATATTGTACCCTTTGGCTATTTAACAGTTCGCCATGGAAAATGGATGTCCCATAGAAATAGATGGTTTACCGTTCTTAATAGCATGGTGATTTTCCATGACTATGTTAGTCATAACCAGATGGTAGATTCCCCAAATGGTGGATTTACCAATGGGAAAATAGAAAAACATTGAAAAGCATTCTTCAGCAAAATCCAAGGGGTGGCTTGAGGAAAACTTTTACGGGAAAACCCTGGTTCAAAAACCATCAAAAACCATCTTTTTCAGTTTTTCCCGAGAAAATTCCCTTAGGAAGCAGTTCTGTTCAATTCTGGGACACAACAGTATGAAAAATATGAAACTGTCTGCCTGCATCTGTTGCCAATCCTGCCAATCTTCTATGTGTCGACTTCACTTTTCCCACCTGCTTTACTGATTCACAGAAGCGGAGGGTGGCGAGTGAGTCCTCGCGGCACTGCTCATGTCAAAATCATGCAAGATCCAAGGGGAGAAAGAAATGCGAAAATTTGAGAATGAAACGATAACGCGCAGTACAATACTTGGAGAGTTTCTTTGCTTGATGATACAAGACTTGTGAAGATAATACAAAACCCTGCAAAGATGCTGAAACCCCTATTTCAACGCAGTGAGTGACACAAAGCATTCTTCAACTGCTCTCCTCAAAAGCACTCTGGGCAGGAGAAATCGTGCCAACCACTGCTGTGTGGGAGTTCCTAGGTACAGAGCTTGTCACAGCAATCTGGTCAAAAAAGCAAGCAAACTGATAAAAAATCCACAGGTATCCACAGGTGTTGAATCTTGCCACCAGATAGCGACAGTCTGCACTTCTCATGTTTCTAGGTGTCCCAGACCCAGCCAAGGCATGTCCCAGCACCATAGTCAGCTTGGAGTTCCTGAAGAAATCCCAACTGCAGTTCCCAGGCCTTATTCCCAGGCCTGGCCTTACATGGGGGATTTGATGATGATTTGATAATGCTGATTCCATGGTATTTTTTTTATGGTGATTTATTTTATGGTGATTATGGATGATCATGGGGGAGTGATTATGGTGACCAGATTTTGATGGTGATTTGATGGATTTTGATGGTAAGTTTTTCTTGATTCATGGCAAAAGTCGAAATGGCAAGAAATCCTTCAGTTTTTCCAGTTCCAGTTGCACCACACCTGAAATGGTGCCATTGGCTTCCCTCTTTGCCTCACAAGTAGACTCTTGATCAAGAGTCCATGGAGCATGATTTTTTGCATTCCAAAAAGGACAGAAACCTTTGGAACATGAGCTTTCATGGAAAATGATTGTTACATATTGTTACAGGTGTTACATCTCTTCTATTCCTCCTCCCTGAAAGTTGCTGAAAGTTGCTATCACTCAAGTCATATCGACTTAAAGCCGCCGCGAGCCTCCCGCCCCTGTCTTTTCAACCTGACGGAGCTTGGGGGAGAATCAAGTTTGCCCTCGCGGGTTTCATGGGGCGTTTCGCTGCCCTTAAGGATACCTTTTTGTGCCTTTTATCAGCATGGGACACTCCAGGGTCCACACAAAACTGCGACTCTTGAGCCACACAAAACATGACAACACGTATTGGTCAAAAATTAAGGCGCAGGGCGGGCTCACAAATGTTCTGGTTGTTTAAGTAAACCATATCATTTTGAGGTACTCTTATAACCCCAACCCTGTTTCAAGCAACGATGTCCTCACATGGGCAAATTTGTTCGAGGTTGGTTTCGAACAGCATCTACCAACCAAGGCTATGAACAATGATGATGGCTACCCCTCCATAAATCAACTAACAAGTGGGGGTGTTGGGGCATGTCTGTTTATATCATGTTATACCGACCTAAGTTATAACCAACAAACTTGGGGCTCCTACAAACCAAAACTGGCTTGAACAAACAACTGGGAATCAAACCAGATTTTTTGACTTACAAAAATGTGGGCAGTGGGGATTGATGGCATGTAACTCCTACAACTCCCTTCCCCGGAAGCGCATAGCACCTGTGAAGCAGCAAGCTCCCGCACACAACGGGCCTTGGACCATTGGAAGTCGACCAAATGGATCAGCAAAAAATGGGTCTGGCCGGAGTTTTGAGCTTGGCATTGGGTCAACATTGGGTACAGAGGGCCCAAGTAATTAAATTGTTGATGATGATGATGATGATTCAATACTATTGTAAATAATACTCAATAAGACTAAATAATACTGAATAATATGATTATACTAAGTCATACTAAATCATACTAAATCACACTAAATAATTCTAAATCATACTGTATAATCATACTAAATCATACTAATCATACTAAACAATACTAAATCATACGAAATCATACTAAATAATACTAATCACATTAAATCATACTAAATGATAATTTTAAATAATACTAAATCATACTGAATAATGCTAAATAATACTAATAAATACTAATAAATACTAGAAATTATATGGGTTTTACTGGAGTCTTCGAATCAGCCGCTCCACTTGCCCAGAGGTTGAGACCAAATGGAAGAGTGATCGGTTGATCAAGGTAAGCTCCTGGCGGCCCCTTGGGATCCCGTCTAAGAATTGATGGGCGGAAATTGGAAATTCGATGATAAATGTAGACTATTGGCTAGATGATACCCATTTAATCAACCAATTGGTTACCTCATAGGGGGAATTATATGGAATTATAAGCTATCTATCTATAATACTATTGAAACATATTGAAACTATTGTAGACTTTCCTTTTTTTATCAACCCACTTCGAGCAGCTCCCAATGCCTGTTTTTGGAACCTTTTTAGCACAACCTTTTCGGGCACCCACCAGGATTTTGGGTGATCCTTGAAGCGTTCCGTGCGGCACATGGAAAGACGCTCTTGCTCACGTCCAGCGAGGTCAACCAGCATGATGCTGACAGATGCTGACGCGACGAATATGGGTGTGTCTGAAAATGTTGTGTACCCCTTTTTACCCAATGGTTTTGCTGATCATTATCCCTATTAAATGGCTATTTCATTGGGAATATACCCTATTTTCAGACAAACCCATATCACACCCTTGCAAGTCATTTCGGAATGAAGTTGGGGTTTACACTTAAATTTGCTCTCGCAAAAGTAAACACAAAGCAACATAGGCGAAAATATGAATTGCCATGCCGCATGCCATGAGTGCAACAACATTACCGAGAAGTACGTCACGTTTGCGAGTCAAAGTCTGGCTTGTCTTGCCAAAGGATGATGTTGCCAACTTCGTCAACAAGGCTAGATCAAACTAAAAGAGAATGGAGGGGAGGATACATCCAACGCCACTATCGAAATACAGCAAAGAATTGATCATTTAGGCAACCTTGCCATCCGATTCGCACTGGGTGGAGGCCTATTGCTGGATTGCGACCGCTCCATACGCAGGGAGAATATTGCGTGGGACCTCACAAAAATGCACTGGCGAGAGAGAATTTGAGGCAGTGAAGCCAAACGTGGATCACGGTAGTTTCGCTCCTCTTTGGACATCTTGCTGCATTATCACGCTGATTATGGGGCGGAATGAAATTTTGACTCATGACTGTCTGGAAGGAAAAACGAACCCCCCAAGGCCCCACAAAGTGCGCGTTCTGTCAAGTACTGATGGAACATTCTCACCAGTGCTGTCATTCCCTTTCCGCCTTGAGGAGCATTCGTTCAACATGGTCGCGGCAGTTGTTCTGACCTACAGCGACTAAGTGTTCAAAAAAATGGCCAGAAGGGCCAATCTGCCAAAGATCCCAAAGTGTTCGGCAAAAAATCGTCCAATCAACCCATCTTCTGTGCTTCTGAATCCATGCCTGCGACCCGAAACTCACCAAACGAAGCACCTGCAAAAACCATGAGGATATTTGCGCTGGGAGGTCGTCAGATTTCGTCAGTTAAATTGCTTTATATAAGCTATTTGAACTGCTCTTCTTCATCTGGCATTGAAGTGTATCATGTGGCGCACTGCATAACACTCAGAGCTATTCCGTAAATGGTCAAGAAGTTGCACAAGCCGTACAAGCCAACGGTTTCTGTTCTCACAGAAACTTGTGTCTTGA